AAAAACGTGGAATTTATTTTTGACCTAGCTTACTATATTAGTAATTGATAAAAGTTTCAAAAAAAAATTGTGTAGTACTATTTTATCACAAAATAAAGTTATTTATCAGTTTTTATTTATCCTTTTTGATAATTAGCAAAATGCTTCACTCCATTTATCATTCTTATCACAAATAATACCTATGCTTATCACAATTCAATAATTATTACTCTAATATTAGCACTTATATCACGCACCCATCCCTCCTCCCAAACAGTATTTCCAACTGGGGCATAATCTCGGTTTCTATGCTCATATCAGTCAAATTGGTCATAATTTGCCTCCGCTCGTCCATGGTTTTCACTTTAATGCCCGGTTTATGCACCAGAAAGGCATTATCAAGTACCATAAAATCATAGTCAAGGACACACAAAACGTACCCTTGAACCAGCTTATCTTTCTGGCCTTCCCAGGTAAACCTTTCGTCATAGAGTGGTTCTTGGTGAGTACCAATATAGAACGGTTCCCAATGGAGGTACTCTCCTCTCCTTTTGGTGGTGTGAAAAACGTGCAAATTGGGCATTTCGGGCATTTTTTGCCACTTTTGAAAGTTGGGAATGTCATGACAAGGGACACAAATGTTGTGGTGAAAAGGAACGGCTAAATTTTTCCCCAACATTGACTGAAGCTCAGTTTTATTCTCCGGGATTTTTTGACCAGTTTCAACCTCAAAGACAGCAAGGGGGTACACACGTGGGGTGGACAAGGAGGGTGTTTTCGAGACCATTTTAAGGAATTTTGGGATTAGGTAGGGACTGGGATACAATTCGATGTCTAGGGGGAAGATAAAGTGAGTTTGGGCCACTTCTCGAGCAATATTTCGAGCTAAATTAATGGGAAAAATTAGGTTTTTTTCACTTTTGTAAGTCGAATTGACCAAAACTGGCGTTTCGGAACAGACGTAGTCATCTTCAGGAATGTAGGTCTTCAATATGTGGTTTTAATGAAAAATTCTATTGAATTACTTGTGACTTACCTTTTCCGGAATATGGTCACTAGGAAAAAAAATATGAAATGTTACTAAATCCCTCACAAGGGTACTGAAGCAACGTAGGTACTTAATAGCATCCATGGTGGGACTAAAATCGGTCCCAGGAGCATAAACAGCCACACTTATGGGTCCTTTCCATCGTTCCACCATTGGTAAAATATTATCAAGGAAAGTAAAATCACCCAAAGTCGTTATTGTTACACTTTCGTGACACTTGAATCGTTTTTTAGCCATTATATAATTGTACAACACCCAATAGTCACCTCTTTGCTGGATTTTGGGCTCCATGGGTCTATCTAAACACCCAGTCACTTGTTTCACTTGTTGCAAAATTTCTGAAAAGTGCGATTTTGAGTCTCTTTGATTTCTCTCATAATCTAAAAGCAATAATTTCTCTTCTAGAGCTTCCAATTCGAAATTTCGGGCATTGTAAGTGTGATAGCACAAATAAATGAAAAGTGACACGAGGACAAGGGCAAAAAGTGCCATTCTTTGTGACATTTTAACGAACTTGAATTTGCTACTGAGATAAAACAATGATAAAAAAAAATTGATTATTAGATAACACTTGAATTTAGATTTGATCTGTTATCAGATTAAGTTCAAGGGTAAAAACAGGTGATAAAATAAGAAAAAGTTTTATTTGCACTTTTACTTTCTACAATTTATCAAATTCTTGCAATATTGTTACAAGGGAATCAAGCGTTTCCTCAGCTGTTGGAATGATCTGATCTGGGGGTAAAACAAATCCATAACGCCCTGTATCTCTCAGTTCATAAGTGTAGGTGATTGGGGTCCCAAAAGTACCTTTTACCCAATCCATGCTACCCCCACTTGCCACATCTGTACAAGAACATTGTTAAATTATTCGAAACAATAATAAAAAAGTACTAACAAAGAACTTCAACAATATTTCCAACTTGATACTTTGTATTGTATCGTTTGGCTAAACTACTGGCCGCTTTAACTCCAACGTCATACTAAAACAATCATAAAATTCGTGACATTATCATAAAGCGAAATGTAAAGTCTGTTTTTCTTTAAATGGAAATTACCAGGTCAAAATTTTGGTGAAGAAATTTTATTGGAGGCGCTAGTTCTGAACCACCCTGTATATAACTTTTTTTCGATAAAAATTTAAAAAAATGTAGATAATTGTAATTCTTATATCTTTGTAAAACAAAGGTTTTATAGTGAGTTACCATTTAAAAAAATACTAAAAACTTTACTGAAGTCATCAAAAACCAAAAAATGCGTAAAAAAACGTCATTATTAATGGTGCTTTTAAGCAAAAAACGTTTTTTTCCTTGTTTGGTAAAATCTCGTAAAAAAATTATATTTAGAACTATTTTTAAGCAATTTGGTGGTTTTTCAATTTATTTTTTTGAAAAATTTTGACGAAATAATCAAGTTTCTAGTCGAAAAACGTGGAATTTATTTTTGACCTAACTTACTATATTAGTAATTGATAAATTAGTGTATTAATTTTTTGTTGTATTCGCAGAGTTACAACAAATTTTTTTCATAAAAAAATCACTTGATATTAGAGTTTTTACAAGAGTTTTTATTAACCCAATTGGTCTCAGGATACTTTTTCCAAAATGTTATTTATTTTTTCGAATTTTTGTAATCATTTGTGTCTCTGAAACAGAAAAAATTATTTATTGAAATTATCTTTCAAAAAAAACACCAAACTAACATGAAAATTAAGTGGTAAAATTTCATTGCATTGGAATTTTAACTTACTTGGCATTTTTGTCTGAACCACCCTGTATATAACTTTTTTACGATAAAAATTTAAAAAAGGAGACAATTGTAATTCTTATATCTTTATAAAATAAAGGTTTTATAGTGGGTTACCATTAAAAAAAAAAAACT